ATGTGTCCTACAGATACAGACGGCCTAGCTAAGTCAATTTGGGGGAGGGGGAGAGGGCTGAATGGATCTGTGATTTCACCAGCTTCAGTCCCCCCAGCAATAGCACAGGTCCCCATCGCCCCACACCCTCTCATCCTCCATCTTTTCTAGTCACATTTTTCCATAAACCCTCCACAAAGGACCAAACTGGTAGCCTCTCTAGAGTTCTTTAAACATGTGACAGATGCCCATGGAGCAACAGACTGGATCAATCCATCAACAAGTATTGATTAAGCACCTACTAAGTGCCAGGCACCGATAAGCAGTGGGGCTGCAAATATAAACAATAAAAGAATTCCTATTCCCTCTAATGGAGAGGACAACAAGTACATATATAAATATGTAAAGCATAAAAGGTTACCAAATTCAAATACCTACCAAGTAGCAACATACAAGGTAGTTTAGAAAGGAGATCACTAATGGCCGGGGGACTTGGGAAAGGATTCACGCAAAGATGGTGCTTGAGCCTCATGTCAAAGGAAGATAGGCAGAGGAAATGAGGGAGTGCATTCCAGGCAGCTTGGGGGATGCCCAGTACAAAGGCATGGAGATGGGAAATACAGAGAGTCATGTGTAAGAAACAGAGAAAAGGCCACTATGGCTGAATCTCAGGAGAGGGAGTAATGTTCAATGAAGCTGGGAAAAAACATGCTGAAGCCAGGTTGTACAGGGTTTTAAAAACTAAACAGAGGAATTCATATTTTATCCAAGAGGCAATAAGGCGGCATCAGAGTTGATTGAGCAGGGAGTGACATGGTCAGATCTGTGCTTTGGTAGCAATGTGGTGCATGGTGTGGACAGGGGAGAGACTTGAGTCACAGAGACCAATTAGGAAGCTGTGACAATAATTAGATGAGAGGGGATGAGGGCTTGAACTAAGATGACAACTGTGGGAGAGATTGTGAAGTTAGAAATGGTGATATTTGGCAATTGGTTGGACTGCGGGAAGGAGATGGAGTGATGGTCAAGGATAATGCCAAGGTTATGAACCTAGAACACTGGAAAGATGGCAATCTCCTCAATAGAAATTGGAGGATTTGGAAGAGGGGAAGGTTGGAACAAAATAATAATGAGTTCAGCTATGGACATGTTGAGTGAGATGTCTGCAAAGATATCCAGCTGAAAACACCCAGTAGATGGATGGTCATGTGAGATTGACACTGAGAGGAGACTCAAGCTGGAGATATAGATCCGGCAGTCGTGTGCATAGCGATGACATTTAAATCCATGGGAGCTGATAAGGTTATTGAGGGTAGGGGGAGAAGAAAGGACTCCAGACAGTCCCTTAGGGGACTTTTAAGGAGCATGATACAGATGGTGAACAGGCAAAAGAAACTGAAAAGAAGTAGTCAGACAGGTAGGAATGTCAGGAGAGTGAACTGTCCTAAAATCCAGACAGGAAAAGAGAGTGGTCAATAGGGTCATATCCAGCAGAGACTTTGAGAAAGATGAGACTTAGAAGAGATCATAAGGTTTTTCAACTAAGATATCACTGAATGACAAAAGATGGGAATAGTCAGTGTTGGAGGGACTGTGGGAAGATGGGCATACCAATGCAGTGTTGGGGAGCTGTGAATTAGTACAACCATTGTGAAAAAATAATTTGTAACTATGCACAAAAAGGAGCCATACCTTTGAACCAAGATTTCGCTGAGAAGCATATTCCCAAAGGAGGACAACAATAAAAAGAAAGGCCCCACATATACCAAACTATTTTGCAGCATTTTTTGAGTAGCAAAAAGGTGAAAACAAAGTAGATGTCCAGCAACTGGGGAAATAAGTGAACGGGATGGGCTATCACTGCACTATAAGAAATAACAAACATGATGAACAGAGGAGCCTGGAATCACTTCAGTGAACAGGTTCAGGGAGAAGCAAGCAGAGCCATGAAAATAATCCACACAATGGTGACAACAAGGTCAATGGAGGGAAGCAATTAAAATTGCAAATTAAAAATAAATACGGGCAGCTGAGTGGCACAGTGAATAGAGAGTTGGGCCTGGAGTGAGGAAGGCTCATCTTCCTGAGTTCAAATCTGGCCCAGATACGCTGTGTGACTGTGGGCAAGTCACTTAATCCTGTGTGCCTCAGTTTCCTCATTTGTAAAATGAGCTGGAGGAAGAAATGGTAAACCACTCTAGTATCTCTGCCAAGAAAACCCCAAATAGGGTCATGAAGTATCAGACACCACTCAAACGACTGAACAAAAAATAAATGTTGTGAGATTACAAAGAATTTGTTCCCAAACAAGAGCTATGAAAGATACCTCCCCCCTCACTCTTTTTTCAGAGTTTGGGGATCCATGGGTACACTGACTATATTGATTGGGGGGGGTTGATCGGTTTTGTTGATTTTTTTCTTCTTTTTCTATTTCATTTTCTTTTAATTTGTTATAGGAGGTGGCTCTCTGGGAGAAGAAAGAGGAGAGATACAGGAGGAAATTTACATGATGTAAAAACAAAGGATATCAATAAAACATTGAAATACTCTGTGAACATGAAAAAGAGATATCATCAGTAATTTTGGAGAAAATCGTTTCATTGCAGCGATAAAGTCATGCCCCAGACTGAAAAGGGCTGAGGAGTGAGAGAGAGGAAGTGGATCAGTGAGATGGGACAACCCTTTCCAGTTTAGCTGAGAAAGGTACGAAAGATCCAGGGTGAGAGCCTGGGGGGATGGCAGGGCCTAGAGGAGCTTTGTTAAGGATGGGGGAAATGGCAGTGTTTGAAGGTAATACAGGAGAGACAAATGACAGGGAGAGGTTGTAGATTTGAGAAAAAGAGGGTGAGGATGGGTCCAGGATATGATCTGCTAGAACAAAGGAGAGAGGAGGGGATCAAGTGCACATGTAGGGAATGTGGTCTTGGCAAGAGGAAGGGCCTACCTTGCCAAAGACCCAGGGTGGAGTAACTGGAAGAGGAAAGAGTGGGAGATGACACCAAGGAGGTTTGAGATCAAGAAAATGGGAGAAGAGGGAGCTGCCAGATGACCCCAATTTTCTCAGTAAAGTAGGAGGCAAGGTCCTAAGCTAAGAGAAAAGGGGGAGGCAGGTGTAGAAGGCTGGAGGAGAAAGTTTAGAATAGCTTCTGGGGGCAATGAATTAGGGCATCAATCAAGGAGGTGCAAAAGGGCTGCCTGGCTGCAGTGAGGGCCCAGGTGAGGTTGGACAACACGAATTAGTTGTGAGACTTGCAGTTTCATTTAACCACTCATGAGCAGGAACAGAGAAGGTAGATGGTAGAAGTGATCCATGGATATATGGGCGAGGAATTAAGAGCACAGGATGGTGTAGGAGTAGAATGGTTGATGATAGGGTCATGACCAGAGAGGGAAAGATGTGAAATCAAAGCAGAGATAACCTAAGAAAACAGTGAGAGTCTCAATGAGGGTAAGCATAGGGAGATGTGGAATGGGTCAGACAGGAGAACACCAGAGTTTCTAACTGGCCAAGTAGGACAACTGTGAGTAACAGTGAGTGAGATCCAATGTGGGACTGTGCTTAGTGTGGTGGAGGTAGGTCCTGGGATTTAAGGAAGCTGTGGAAATGGCAGGTGAGGGGCTTTAGGGGAGCATCTTTGAGGATGTGAAAGCCCTCTAGAATGAAAGCAAGAGTTGGTGAGGAGAGGAAGATGGCGACCCTGGTGCTGAACACCTTGAGAAAGGAGGAAGAATGATCTGGGAGGGAGGAGGAGGGTTGGCGTACTATGGCCGCCATTATTTGGATGGGGTGGAACATTTTGATTGAATGGGCCCCAAAGGGAAAAAAAAAAAAACAGCTCAGCAAAGTGATGAAAGGAGAATATGGAAATGACAGCGAGCAAGATCAGCGGACCAGTCGTCTCATCTCCCTGGGCCTCTGCTTCAGAAATGAGGTGGTTGGAGGAGATGAATTCTGACCTGAATTCATTTAACCCTCTCACATGAGAGATGAGGAAGCCCAGGCCCAGGGAGGGTAAGGACCTGCCAAGAGACTAAAATCCTTTGTAAGTGCCTTCTTTGGCTTTGGTTTCCCATAAAATGAGGTCATGCTTGCTAACAATAGACAGCCCCAACACCCCTTCCATGAATTTTAAGTGGTGACTAAACTTGGCAAACACACTCTGCTAGGCCCACGCCTACACCTCGCCCCTCTCCAGACAGGACAGCAGCAACATGGAAGACTCCAAATCTGTGCCCCACATGTGTGGGCTTCTTGAGGCTCATCAGACACCAGCCTTCCACCCATGGTCCTCGCGCCCAAGGTCCCAGGTGCATTTCCTGGTCACCACACCACACCACGGCATGTCACCATCATCCAGCAGGTCTCCCTTTCCCCAGCTATAAATAGATCCCTTTCAAAATGCTGACAAGGTACTCACTGGGATATGGTAAGAGGCCTTTTGCCTCTTCTTCCTGGCCCCAGAGCTAAAAAATCTCACTAGAGGAATCAGGTCAAACAGGAAGCCCCCTGGGCTGTGGTTTAAACAATTCACACTCAGCACTTTGGGCCTGAAAAGAGCTCCCCAAAGACCAGGAAAAAAAGGAGCAGAAAGCACTGCAAAGCTCCCCTTTAGCCCGGGCAGAGTCAGAGATTGAGAAAGGAAATGCTGAACAAATAAAAGAACCCTCCCTGGCTTCTGGTCTGGCCCCCAAAAGATGCTTTTCCATCCCAGTCGATGGGAGGAACCTTGGACAAAGAGGAAGAATCACTGTGAGCAAGGAAGGGAGAAGCAGGGGAGGCCCAGGGCGCAGCTGGTTGACAAGGCCCAGACACAGTGCTCTGGGTCGGGCCGGGGACACCAACCAGGCTGCATTTTTAGAAAGCGAAAAATGATTTCACCGAAGAACTGTTACCATCTATCACCGCCCCCCTTGCCTTACTTTTGCTCATCAGGTCTCCAGCTCAGCCTCTCCGACCACACCCAGCATCCCCGAGGGAAACTGCAAGGGAAACGATTAACCCAGAAGCTGGGCCCACCTACCCAGAGAGCAGCAGTCGGCCCTGAAGCTTCAGATCGGCGGCGCAGTCTTCCGAGTGACAATTTCTCTCAAAAACAGTCTGTGGAAGAGAAAACGGCAAACAAATCAGTCAGTAGCTAGATGGTGCCATGGAGAAAGTGCTGCACCTGGTGTTAGGAAGGCCTGAGTTTGAATCTGGCTGCAGACCCTTAGTAGCTGTGTGACCCTGGCTAAGTCACTTAGCCTCCAGCACCCTGTTTCATCATTCATCATCATTTCATCATCATTTGTAAAACGGGGATTATACTAACACTCACCAGGGTTGTCATGAAGCTCAAACGAGATGACACGCATGGTGCTTTGCAAACTTTATTGCCATATAAATGCCAGTTATCGTTGTTATTATTATTATTATTTATTATTGCAGCTAACGTTTAAATAGTGCTTTAAGGTTTGCAAAACACTATACATGTTAACTCAGAAGGAAGGAAGGAAAGAGGGAGAGAAGGAAGAAGTTCTATCATTCTATCAAAGTCCTCTCTGTCTGTCTCTGTCTCTC